GGCAGTGGGAGCCTAGGAGGTTGCAAGCTTCGAGAGGAATGGATGGGGAAGGACCAGGGGTGGTGACAGCTGGGAAGGGCTGCTGGGGAAGGGGAGGTGGGGCCACTGTGTGGGTGGGGGAGGGGACAAGGAGGCCCTGCCTGGGGGATGAGGTGCCAGTCCTGGGAGGGGCACGGATGGGGAGCTCTGGGACTTGGCTGTGACCTGAGACCGTAGGTCCGGCTCTTATCCTAGCACAGGGATGGGTATGTGGGGACCGGGTCACGGGCTTTTGTGGAGGAGCCTCGAAGGGTCTTGCTGGGCCTCCCTCCCACCTCCTGTTCCTCTTGCTGGCCCACTTCCTGGGTTGTGAAACCCCCGTGGCCTCCCAGCCTAGCCACCACTGCCTGCCTGCCTGGCAGTTCCACCATGCCTGGGCCCCTCGCCCTGCCACACTGCCAGGGCCAGCCCTGCTTCCTCCTGCCGATCACACCACCTCTCGCTCCCCTTCCTGCCCTGGCCTCTGTCTCCCCTCCCCGCTTTATTCACCCCCTCAAGGCAATGCAGGCTGGACAGTGGCCTCCCTGCACACAGTCTGCATTCTTGGAAAGGTCCCCACCTTGCTGCTGCCTGCCACCCAGTCCTGCCTGGCAGCAGGTGGCACCTTTCACCGGCAGGCGTCAGGTGTGTGTGGGGAGGGCTGCGTGAGGTGGTGTGGGAGACATATCCCGCTCCCCAGGGGCTCTGTTCAAGGGAGCCAGACCCCAGGCCCACCACGGTCTTTCCTTGCCCTTGCTTCAACCGGCCTCAGCCCGCCACCTCATGTGTCTCCCACAGACACAGGCGCTTCTGAGGGAGCCCCCTCCACACCCACACCCTCCCCTGCAGTGTGACCAAGACCTCTCCTCTCCATCCCCTGTGGCCTGTGAGCAGCACTGAACCCAACGAAGGGCTGGGGTGGAGGGGACCAAGCCAGGTCTAGGATCCAGGAGGGCCTTGGCCTCAGTTTCCCCTTCTATACAATGAGGAGGTGGACATGTTGGTCTCTGAAGACCCTTCTCTTGCAGACATTTTGGCTTGTTGGGTTTTATTTTTCATCTTTGACAAAACTGTTATCAAATAAGTTATACAGAAAAATTAGAAAATGCATTCCTGGTCTTGATGGCATCCCTCAGGCCACGTCTCCCACCCCAGCCTCCTTTGTTGGTACACGCCAGCACATGTGTGGATGTGCAACACACATACTTGTCCACCGGGGGCCACTCTCTGTGCCCCAGGAGCTCTGACCTCACAGTCATTCTGGTCACCTTGAGGCCTTGCCCGCTGCCCTGTACTGGCTGGGAACAGGTTTTCAATTACCCTGTGGGAGGTGACATGCCTGCTCTGGCCTGGCCTAGCTACCACCTTTCCTTACCTCTGGGCTGCTGGGCCAGGGCAGGGTGGGGAGTACGGCCAGGAAACCCTCATTCCCTGGGGCTGGGATCCAGCTCAGCCAAGCCTTCTTCAGGTTTTAGGAACCCGAGGGTGGTCCAAGCAGCTGGGAAAGAGGGGAGGACAGCAGTTCAGGGGCGTATACCTCCTTGTTTGTGCAAAGAGGGTTGGGGGGCTCCTCAAGGTCAGGCCTGGGGCCAGCCTGGGGGGAATGGGTAGATAGACTCTGGTTGGCACAGGGTATTTGTCTCCTGGTGCCCTTACCTCCCTGTTTCCTCTGTCTGTGTGTATGTGTGCGAGTGCTATTTCTGGCACATTTATCTATCTCCATCTCTACCCTTTTCTCTCCCTTTGTCTCTTCTTCCCAATGTGGTATACTGGAAAGAACATGGGCTGTAACGTTAGGCAGGCCAGGATTCAAACCCTTCTGCCACTGACTGGCTATGTGACCTTGGGCAAGTTGCTTAGCCTCTCTGAACCTCAATTTGTTCATCAGTAAAATATCCACCTCCTGGCTCTGCATAGGGATGAAGTAAGCTAATGTAATTATAAGGCTAATCTGGTACACTGTCTGCCTCAGAAAAGAACTGTCCTTCTTATAAATGGGGGAGCTGAGATTCACACCCAGATACTTTCATTCTGAGTGCAATGCGCTCTGCTTTGTAGGGCTGGCTCTGCCGTGGGTTGGAGAAGCAGGAGAATGGAGGTTTGGAGCCCACAGGCAGCCGAAACAGTCACCCCCATGGAGGCCATGTGGGGTCCAGCCCCTGCCACCCCCATGGCCCTGCAGAGCAGCGATGAGTCTGGGGCTGAGCCAGTGGCCTTCCTTTGGGGCCTGTGGGCCTGGGCCGATTTGCATGGGGGCTATAAATAGTCAGCACACCTTGCTTTTGTGCTGTCGTTTCGCCCCCTCTTTTCCCCACCACTGTTCAGACACTCTGCGATGTAGGTGGACAGACTCTGACAGAGGGGGTTGTGGCCCAGTGAGGCCCAGGACCTGTCAGGCTCACACAGTGATGCAAGAAGATGCTAGGGTCTGGGTAGTACAACTGGGGGAGAGGAGGTGGCGGAACCTGGCCAGAGCCTGTGCCCTAGTTTTCGCCCTAGGAAGTTGGGGCTGGGTGATCTAACCCTAGGGTTACTGCCAGGTAGCCCCGTGGTAGCCCACAAAGACCATGGGTCCCCTGTCCTCGTGGTACTGTGGCCTGGCTGTGCAGGTTTAGGGCTAGGCCCTGGGCCTGCTGTGGTTGTGGTTTTCCCTCCAGTGCCTCTGACCGTGAGCAGCAGCCGCCCTGAGTGTGAGCTGAGAACGCTGGCAGGCAGCCTGTGCGGCTGGCAGGGGAGGCTGGTCCTAGGTTCTGCCTCAGCCTCCTGGGGCTTCTCTGACCCCCACCTCCTCCATGCAGGCCATCAGGGCTGGCCCCCAAGGTGACGCGGCTGGGAGGAGGAGCTGGCCAGCAGGTGTGTGGAGGACCCAGTGCCGCAGGATGAGCTGCCTGTGTTCCTGGAGGCTCGGTTTCCCTGTCTGAGAGGCAGGGTCAGTAACCAGGACTGTCTTCCCAGGCCGTTGGGCAGGTGGACTGGATGGGGTGGGGGATGTGAGTGCACTGAGTAAGCTGTGACAGGAGGTGCACAGGTGAGGGATGGGTGCTGCAGGTGAGAGGGGTGGTTGTGATAAGAGGACCCCTCCCTGAGGCCTGTTGGGTTTATACCCGCCCTCATCCTACGTGGGTTCTGAGTTCTCATCATCACGACAGGCCTGAGCCCTGGCCCCCTGCAGCACGCTGGCTCCTTTATCTCTGTCCACCTGCCCCTCAGCCCTCATCCTCTGAGCACTCAGCAGTCACTTCCTGCCCCAGCTGAGTCTCCAGGTTCTCCTGTCAGGAAGCATGAGGCTGAGCTGAGTCTGCTGGGGTCAGGCCCTGGGCGTGCAGGCACAGACTTGTGACAAGTGTGTGCTGTGCAGAGGCCCCGCCGATGAACATTCGAGACCCCAGGGAGCACTCACGTGGGTGCTCAATGTCTTGGACCCCCGACCAGGCAAGGCAGCAGGAGGTGCGAGACATCTTACACCCAGACTCCCACACATGCTCGAGGCAAGGCCCGTGCAGCTTGCTTTTCACTCCAGCATTAACTGAGTGCCCACCATGGCCACCCACTTCCATGGCCTTGCAGGCACACCCACCTCCATGGCAGCGTGCAGTCATACTCATGCAAACCCATCGTGCCCACGTGCACCCTCACACGCACCAACACACATCTGCACGCTCCAGCCTGGGAAGGAGCCAACAGCAGCCCACAGCTGGCTCTCCCTCCCTGCCTGCCAAGTGTTCATGGGCAGCTGGCCTGGTACCCAGCACTCATTGCCCACTTGCTGGTCTCAGGCCGATGGCTTTGGGGCCTGGGCTCAGGTATGAGCTTGCATACTCACCATCATTCCCACCGAGTAGGAGCCAGGCCCCACCTGGTGCCTCCTCTCTGCTCTGGCTGCTGGCCTCAGAGGATTGGCTGGGCCCACTGGGCTGGGCTGCAGGCCGAGGTCAGTGTTTGCCATGACCTTGTCTGGGCTGGGAGCTTCCAGCAGACCCAGCTACCTTGTGCAGGAGCTGGAGGGAGCCCTCTCAGGGGCTGAGCAGCTGTTGTGTGTGTGCACACATGTGGCGGGGGGGGGGTGTGCCCAAGTCTGCCCCTGAGTGCCGGCTTACGTTCAGGATGGAGCGAGGACATGTGTATGCACACAAACACGAGTGAGCGTGAGTTCACTCAACCACGGTTACGGAGCACCCTCGTGTGAGACCTGGGCTGGCAGCCAGTGTCCACGGACGTGCTTACTCACCTGAGTGTCCTTCAAGAATGGCAACCTGAGGAGCCCCTCGGAGTCACCTACTGGAGTGACCCTTGACTTGGGGAAGAGTGAGAATGGGGGAGTGTAGGGGCTGCCCTGTGTGAATGTGCAAAGTAGTTCCCCTGTCTGAAAAGTGTGGGTGTTCATCCTGGCCCTGCGTGTCTGCCTCAGTAGTTATGAGCAAAAAACCCCCAAACTTCAAAAACCAAGAAGGGTTGCATGGGGCAGAGTGGAGGGAGGAGGGGATACCATCCCGCCCCCTTGGCAGGTGACGACTGGCACTGGGGTGCAGGAGCCCAGCACATCCTGGGTACCTGGCATGGAGTAGGTGCTAAGTGGTTGGGTGCCGAGGGAGGCACCGAGTGACTCCCCAGATGAATGTCTTGGGGTCACAGACGCAAACCCCTCCGGGGCGCAGGTAGGTTTTGGAGAGGAGTAAAGAGAGTGTGCTTGGCCTGGGTTAGGTGTACGGGGCAGCTGTCCCAGCACTGGCTGGCTATTATTGCCCAGCAGGCGCGATGTCACATCTTGCAGTTTACCGGAGATGCCACAAATCCAGACTTACATAAAACTTCTCAACTTTTAACTTTGGCAACCAGGACTAGTGCATTTTATGCACCGTGTGGGCCAAACCCGGTGGTGGGGATCCCTGGGGGAATGGGTCCCTGAGCACCTCCTGTGGCTGTCACTGCTGGTCCCACTGGCTGCCTGGCCTCACCCCTCTTTGTGCACAACCCTGCCGTAGGCCCCGCCATGGCGCCGTTCCTGCGCATCGCCTTCAACTCCTACGAGCTGGGCACCCTGCAGGCCGAGGACGAGGCGAGCCAGCCCTTCTGTGCCGTGAAGATGAAGGAGGCGCTCAGCACAGGTGGGGCTGGAGGCTGGACCCCGGAGAGGGGCTGGGAATCTGGGCCTGGTGGGAGGCATTGGAGGGGCCTGGCCCTGTTCCTTGGACCCTCTGAAGGCTCCTTCTTTTCCTCATCCTTGACCCTCTGCTCCACCCAGCTGTGGACCCAGGAAAGCAGAGGCTGCTGAGTCTCTAGGGCCTCAAACACTGGCCAAATGGAAGCCTCCCCAGGGCTTGGGGTTTCCGGCTCCTCCTCCATTGGCTGTTTTACCCACCAGTTTCCACGTGTGCATCTGCGCCAGGCCCTGTGCTGAGCCCTGAGGACTGACCTGGCCCTGCCCTCATGGGGCTCACAGCCAGATAAATGACAAAGCAGTGAGTCCTGTGATGAGGAAGCCCAGAGAAGGCATCGTCTGAGCCTGGGGTCATGGAGGACTTCCTGGAGGAGGCACACATCTCACACCATTCCCTCTTCTTCTGTCACCTGGTGAAGCCCTACTTGTCCCTTAGGTCTCAGCTGATCTGTCCCTTCCTCCAGGAAATCTTCCCTGATCCTTAGGCTGGGTCAGGCCACTTGACCATGGGCAGGTCTAGAACAACCAGCCTTGTCCTCCTCAATCTCGTTGTAGCTGCGACTTAACAGGTTACTTAAGGAATTAGTTGGTTCATTCTCCACCCAGGAGGAGGGATCCGAGAGGATGGGCACTGGGTTTCACTTTTCTCTCAGCTGTGTTTCTGCCTCTGATACCGTGGCTGACATGTGGGAGCTCTCAGCACGTGTTCACTGAGTGGATGCATAAGGGAAGGTGACATTTAAGTGCAGCTGGAGCGAGTGGGTCACAGGAAGAGGGAATAGCAGGAGCAAAGGCCTGGAGCTGGACCTAGCAGGGTGCCCTAGAGGCACAACAGGCAGCTCTGTCTTCTAGAGGACACTGGGGAGCCACAGCAAGCCCTGAGGGCAGGAGAGGCCCTCAGATTCTCTCAGGGCTGAAGACTGGGGAGGTCCAGGGAGAGAGGGACAGAGGGGCCCTGGCCTGACCTCGCCTGCCTGGCCCCACTGCAGAGCGCGGGAAGACGCTGGTGCAGAAGAAGCCTACCATGTACCCCGAGTGGAAGTCCACGTTCGATGCCCACATCTACGAGGGCCGAGTCATTCAGATAGTGCTGATGCGGGCAGCTGAGGAGCCGGTGTCTGAGGTGACCGTGGGCGTGTCGGTGCTGGCCGAGCGCTGCAAGAAGAACAATGGCAAGGCCGAGTTCTGGGTGAGGGGCGCGCGAGCCTCGGTCTGAGGCAGTGCACGCGTGCATGTGTGTGTGCGCGTGTGCGGGCTCGGTCAGCAAGCACAGCTGCGGGCGCTGGGCCCCGCGCTGGCCACCAGGCCAGCTCCGCAGCCGACGCAGCCTGGGTTTGAATCCCGGATCTCTCAGCCCCAGTTTCCGCATCTGTAAGAGGAGGAGCCACTGGGTCAGTTGTTCAGAAGAAATGAGCAGATGGATCAAGGGCTTATTGCAGAACCTGACATGGAGTGGGTGCTAAAGAAAGCCGTCTTCCTGCAGCTACATTTTCCCTTTTAATTTGAAAAGGCAGGATACGCACATAATAAAACATTCTGAACCACAGGGAAGGGTGTGTCCGTGCCCCCACACCAGGCCCCCAGGTCCCCAGGCCCCCTTCTCAGAGGCACCCATTGTTCTGGTTCTTTTTGGAATCTCCACAGATATTCCAGGCCTAGGCAGGCACTGGAGGACAACGTTATGATGTTTAACAGCAGGGAGGTGGGAGAAGGGGAAGGCCAGGGATCCCACCCACTCACCTGCAGAAACGGAGACTCTACACGTGCCTATGTCCACCTGGCTGTGGGTTCTGGGCGCCAACAGGATGCCAGCATTGGCGGAACTCCCCTGGGATTACCTGTGGGATGTAACCAAGATGTCTCCACCAGAAAAGACCCTGTGACCACTGGAGGCTCTGGTCAGCCTCCCCCGAAGGGTGAAGGGGCCAGGGCTGCACCAACCTTCCGGCAGTCAGGCAGGGACACAGGGGCCCCTGACTGGGCTCTCTCTCTCTCCACTCCCCCAAGGGAGGGTATCAGTCACCAGGTCTGGGGCCTGGGGGAGGTGAGGGAATAGAGGCTCGGATCCTGCCCTTAAGGCTGACCCGTCTGTCTGAGGAGCCCCCGACGTAGAGATCCAGCACGGGAGTGTGAGGATGAGTGTGTCTGTGTCTCTGCCTGTGCACCCGGGGGTAGGGTCCCTCCATTCTAAGATCCTTGCCAAGGGGGCAGCAGGGGTGGGGAGTTTCCCGTCCCACTTTGTTCCCAGGGCCCTGTGGCTGGGCAGGGTGTGGGCTGGATCCTTTCACTTCCCCAAATGTAATAATACCCATGGGTGCAGGGTGGGGGGCGGGGCTCAGGGGCGGGGCCCTGCCCACACTGGGCAGACACGGGTCTGGCTAGGCTCGGTGGGGCTCCCTTGGCCTTGGGGGACCAACCATGGGGGTGGGTTCTGAGTCTGGCCTGGCCCAGGCCCGCCCTCACTGACCTTGTTGTGCCCTCTACCCTGGCCCCCAACAGCTGGACCTACAGCCTCAGGCCAAGGTGTTGATGTCTGTGCAGTACTTCCTGGAGGACGTGGGTAAGACCGCCCCACCTGGGCTGGGGATGGAGCGCTCACCTGCCAGGTTCAGGGGCCAGAGCCCACACCGAGGTTTAGGGAAGCAGCCCCCTTCAGCGATCTGACCAGGGCCACCCTGAGAGGGACTGCAGGGGTACGGCCCCTCCCAGACACCAGGACTGACTTCGCTCTGTGGCCCCCAGATTGCAAACAGTCTATGCGTAGTGAAGACGAGGCCAAGTTCCCAACAATGAACCGCCGTGGAGCCATCAAACAGGCCAAAATCCACTACATCAAGAACCACGAGTTTATCGCCACCTTCTTTGGGCAGCCCACCTTCTGTTCTGTGTGCAAAGAATTTGTCTGGTGAGGGCTGGCTTTGCCCACAGGTGGTGGTACAGGGTAGGGAGGGCCCCCACCCCGGGGCGCCCCCTCACACACCCTGCCTGGGATCTACCTTTCAGGGGTCTCAACAAGCAAGGCTACAAATGCAGGCGTAAGTGTCTCCGCAACCCCAGGGTGTGTACCTGTGTGTGCTTTCGGGTGCCCTGCCTGTGCATTCACGGGAAAGCCTGGGACTCCGGATTGGGACAGCCCTGGGATGGCTGGACAAGGGCTCCGTGGACTTCAGTGTGTGCATGTGCGCTTCTCCTCGTCAGAGTCTGTGTGTGCAGCAGTGTGTTTGGGGAGTGCTGGGGCTGGCTTGCTGCTGCTCACGAAAGCCAGTCCCAGGCATCTCCCAGCTCTGTGTTCAGGGAACATGAAGTTGGTAGCCTGAAGTGGGCCATGGGAGAGTTATTTACACAGGCAAGGATACACATCAGGACTCTTTCCAGGAGAGGTGGTTGTGGGACCTTTGCTAGCACCCCTCTGGCTGCACGTGCTCTGTGTAGACGTGGGTGTCTCTGGGTACACAGATGGGAGCACACCTCTCTCCATGATGTACATGCAGGAGGCACTGTGGGCTGGTGCCGTGTGCATGGCCTCGGGAGCCAGGCTGCCTGGGTTTTAATCCCAGTTCCACTACCTTCTAGCTGCAGGGCCTTCAGCAAAGTTACCTAACCTCTCTGTTCCTCGGTTTCCTCATCCATAAACTAAGAGTAGGGTCATTGTCAAGATTGAATGGGATAAAATATGTAAAGCTGTATTTTAAGTGCCTGTCATGTGGTAAGCATTCAATATAAGTCTATTGTCATTGCCACACATGCCCGCTGTGTGTGTGTAGATGTCTTTGTGTTGGGGTGTGTCCGTGTGCACATGTGAGAGAGCTTAGATATCTGGGGAGCCTGGGGCACGGGAGAGGGAAGGAGGGGCTCTCCTGCCCTCAGTTCTCTCGCAGCAGTTCCCTGTCCCATGGCCCCCTCACTTCTGCCCGCCCTCCCTGCCCACTTGGACCCCTTGAGCCTTCCCTAGTCTCTGAGACCCTGCAGATTGGCCTGTCCTTCCTGCCCTGTCCTTGCTGGGGCCTTCCTTCGAGGGTTGATGGGAGGGAAGAAAAATCAAGCACTGGGCCCAAGGCCTCTGCGGGGTGAGGGTGTGGGCGGTCAGGGAGAACGGTGGCTTTGTGTGGAGGGCTGGACTAGGCCAGCGGGCGCCAGCTCACAGCCTCTGCCCCTCCCGGTGCCTTCTCATCCCCCTCCTGGGCCTGTGCCTCTTCAAGAATGCAACGCTGCCATCCACAAGAAATGCATCGACAAGATCATCGGCCGGTGCACGGGCACCGCGGCTGACAGCCGGGACACCATAGTGAGGCTGGGCCTAGGGCAGGGGGACTTTGCCAGGTGGGAGGGGTTCCACTGTTCCCCACACCTTTCCGGGGGGGCTCACCCCATCCCCATTTTTCTCAGCCCTTCTTTGCCTCTCCTGTGGACCCCACTTGGGACCTTGCTGTGCGTGGGGTTGGGGGAGAGCTAAGGGTTGAGGAAGGGCCTGGAGCTGGCATGTGACCTTTAACCTGTGATACCCCCATCCCCAGTTTCAGAAAGAACGCTTCAAAATCGACATGCCACACCGGTTCAAGGTCCACAACTACATGAGCCCCACCTTCTGTGACCACTGTGGCAGCCTGCTGTGGGGACTGGTGAAGCAGGGACAAAAGTGTGAAGGTGTGTGCACCCGGCTCCCAGGCTGGGGGCGGCCACCCCTGCCCATGAACTCCAGCTGCTACCTCATGCTGCTCTCACCCTTACTAGAGACGGGCCCTTGAGCTCAAAGGAAACTCATCTGGGGATTTGGTGTGGGCAGGGCCTCGGTGTCCCCTCCCCATTGGCCTGACTGGCTTTGCCATTTACCTGCTGTGTGGCCAGGCAGGTGGCTCCACCCCTCTGAGCTGTGTCCTCCAGCATAAGATGCTGGGAGAAATGGGACCTGGAGAGCTGCCCCGTGGGGCAAGTGGGCAGGGGTGCTCATGTCAGGCCTGGGACACACCAGCAGGCACCCAGCCGACATCCTTCTCCGGCCTCCCCTGGCTTCACCTAGGGACAAGAGACAAGAGACCCCCAAGGGAAAGCAGCCTGTCTAAGTTGTCCCAGACATTCTTCAAAGGGTTTAGAATTAGGTCCCGTATCTTTTGCTTTTTCCTTTTTCTTCTTTAAATCATTAAAGATTGGAAGTGCTCATGATGGCTTCAGATCCATTTTTTCCTAAAGACAGGAAACCAGCAGACCCCCTCAAAGCCCTCCTTTCCCTTGCTCTCCTGTCCTTTCCTCCACCCCTCCCTGCCCCTGGCCGAGCCCTGAGACTGACAGCCCCGTTTCTCCTTCATCCCAGACTGCGGCATGAACGTGCACCATAAATGCCAGGAGAAGGTGGCCAACCTCTGTGGCATCAACCAGAAGCTCTTGGCAGAGGCATTGAACCAAGTCAGCCAGGTGAGCAGGCATCGTGGGGACCCGGACACAGAGCAGTGGGGTCAGGGAACAATGGGGTCAGGGGACAATGGGGTCAGGGCATAGCCACTCCTGGGGAACCACTGGGGGGGCTTTTAGACCCAGGACCCCATTTCTGGAGGATCCAATTCAAGAATTTAAGCAGCAGAGGGAAGTGGGCTTGTTTTTGTGAGAAATTAGTTATTCAAGCAGTTCTTCCCTTGAGGGTGAACCTGGGGGACCGCAGGATTGGGCATCGGAACTAAGACTTTGTGGTGCGGGTGTTTGGGTGTGGGCGGGGCTTGAGGGATGCCACAAACCTTTAAGGTAGAATTCTCAAATCAATCAGAAATGCAGTTAACACAAATAAATACCTATCGAATGAGTGATTGAGAAGGCAGGTTCAGTTATCAAAATTTCTATTTGTAATCAGTGTTTTCCAGACCAGCAAGGCTTCTCTGCTCTGTGCGGGGAGTGTGTGTGTGTGTGTGTGCGCGCGCGTGCGCGCGTGTGCGCTGCCTTGGGGGCTGGGCTGGGTGCCTGCTGGGCCCCACCGGTATTGAGGGTGGGGTTATGGCTGGGGCTCTTGTCTCTGGGCTGGAAGTTCTGACCATGGAATGTCTGTCTGGCTCCCACCTCTGCCCCCTGACAGAGAGCCTCCCGGAGATCAGACACAGCGCCTTCCGAGACTGTTGGCATATACCAGGGTTTCGAGAAGAAGCCAGGAGTCTCTGGTGACGATGTGTTAGGTGAAGCTGAGCCCATTGCCACCATTGCCACCATTCCAGTGCCTGCTCCCAACCAGGGCACAGAGTGGGGCCAGTCCTCCCTCCTGCTGTCAAGGAAGGAGGCATCACCCGTGGGTAGCAAGCCTCTTCTTCTGCTCTCTCACCCCAACCCACTCCTGGGCCCCAGGGGAGGGGAGCTGTGCAGACTGAGACCCAAGTCTGAGGGGCCATCTCTCGGGCAGACAACAGCGGGACCTACGGCAAGATCTGGGAAGGCAGCAACAAGTGCAAGATCGATAACTTCACCTTCCACAAGGTCCTGGGCAAAGGCAGCTTTGGGAAGGTGAGGCACTGTGAGGCCCTGGGGCCACCCAAGGGACCAGGGCTCCGGAGCCCAGGGGGCACCTGCTTCCCTCTCCGCCCTGGCTGGGTGGCAGAAGCTGGGAGTCTGTGGGTGGGGCTGGGCCTTTGCCCCGTCCTCCCAGCTCAGCATCCCCGCCTGCCCGTCAGGTGCTGCTCGCGGAGCTGAAGAGCAACGGCCAGTACTTCGCCATCAAGACCCTGAAGAAGGATGTGGTTCTCATCGACGACGACGTGGAGTGCACCATGGTGGAGAAGCGAGTGCTGGCGCTTGCTGGGGAGAATCCCTTTCTCACCCACCTCATCTGCACCTTCCAGACCAAGGTGCCTCAGTCTCCCGCTGTCATTGCCACGTGGCACAGCCACCCTGATGCAGAGGCTGCGTCTCCTCTTCAGACCCCTGGGACAGGGCCATGTCTCCTCCTCAGGCCTCCAAGGCAGGGCCTCCTCTTCCCCAGACTACCTAAAGCAGGGCCATATCTCTCCCCACTGTGGCTCCCCAGGCAGAGTTGTCCCCTCAGCCAGGGCCCAACCCCCTGCTTCCTGTTGGGGCTTGGCCCAGGAGCCCCAGGGAGGGACCCTGCTGCCTGTTCCTCTGTCTTTGCTTACCATCCTGCCACCCCAGGACCACCTGTTCTTCGTGATGGAGTTCCTCAACGGGGGGGACCTGATGTTCCACATTCAAGACAAAGGCCGCTTCGAGCTCTACCGTGCCACGTACGTGAGTCTTGGTGTGGGGGAAGGGACAGTGGCTCAGAGCCAGTCTGTCCTCCACTTCTCCTTCTCTCTCCCTGAAGAAGCCAGCCTGGGCTAGAGCTGGGGTCGGGGAGATTTGGCAGGAAGCCATGGGTGGTAAGTGAGCTCCGGCTGAGGGTACAGCACCAACAGGCCAGGTCCTGTCCCCTCCTTGGGCCTCAGCCAGAGCAGCCTTACCGAGAGTGCTCTGATGTGTGGCCCCCAGACTTGCATTGTGATGATGTTCCCCATTTGCATGCCCTCCCGAAACTAACGGGTATGTGTGTGTTTACATGTACACACACACATATCTGTACAAATGCATACACTCTTAGGACAGAGAATTGGCTACTGGAGCTTTCCTGCCCAGGCTGCCAGCCCCCACTTGCCTGTTCTAAGATGTGCTTGGTCGGGCCCAGGTTGTCCAGGGAGTTATTTGCAGCATTTCCTGCCCCTGGGGGTGGGGGGAGGGTCCGATGAGAAGCAGAGGCTAGTCGCCAGAAATCCCAGGACACTTTGTCTCTCTCTCTCCCAGGTTTTATGCAGCTGAGATCATCTGTGGACTGCAGTTTCTACATAGCAAGAGAATCATTTACAGGTGCACGAGTCAGGGTGGTAGGGGATCTGGAACAGGGAGGGTCCAACCAACCCCATCATATCCTTTGAAATGCTCTGAGTGGGGCCCGGCCTAGCTCCAGCTTCACCTCTGCTTGGAGTCAGTCTTTAGCTGGGTGTTGGCCTAAACCTCCTATTCTGGTGCTAGAATTTCTTGCAGCCCCTCAGCTGAGGCTGACATAGCTCCAGGGACTTAGGGACTCGCTGCCCATGCTTGACACCATTGGCAGGGAGGGCAGCGCCAACTGGTGCAGCGTGTCCCTTCCTTGAAGCTGTCACTCCCTCTCAGAAGCCCCATCTGGACAATCTGGCTTGCACCAGAAAAGACTGGTTCCACAGATTCTTGTCCAACAAATTATGGCCCCATGCTATGGTGGAATACTGTACAGCCATCCAAAAGGCTGAGGCCACGCTGTGTACTGAGGTGGGATGATGCCAAGATACGTTGTCAAATGGAAAACCAACCCTCGGGAGAGTATGTATCGAATATCAGCATTCAGATTTTAAAGGTAGAGGTGAGATGCACATTGCAATATGCTAGTCCATGCTCAGAGTCACTTGAAGGAGAGCCTGACAGGTGAGCTTAGTGGAAGATGAACTTGGCACTATTTGCCCATTTCTGGTACTTGTTCCCGTGTAAACAAATTATCTGCTCAAATGACTAATTACATGAATATAGACATCGTCCCTGCCCTCGTGGAGTCAGGCCTGAGCCCAGGGGCCGCTTCTGATGCTGGCCAGCTAGAGGACCCTGGGCAAGTGACTTGACCTCTCCAAGCCACATTTAGGCTTCAGGGAGTAAGAGAGTGTGTGCCTGGCATTTAGCACACAGTAGGTGGCTTGCAGGAAGCACATTTCTAGCACCTCTTTCGCCTTCTGCTGCGCTTTCTCTTCCCCATCCCCTTGTTCCCTGGGGGAGAGTCCCGGACTTACAGGCTGAAAATGAGGACATGGGGGACAGGGTTGGGGAGGAAAAGAATTAGTCCCTGGTGACCACTTTTCCTGTCTTCTCTTCTTAGAGACCTCAAACTGGACAACATACTGCTGGACCGGGATGGCCACATCAAGATTGCCGACTTCGGGATGTGCAAAGAGAACATATTTGGGGAGAACCTGGCCAGCACCTTCTGCGGCACCCCTGACTACATTGCCCCTGAGGTGAGCAGATACTGTCTGGGCCTCGCAGTCAGAAACCTTGCCTCAACAGGGTGGGGCAGGGAAGACTTCCCAGGGGCAATGACGTCTGAGCCAACACCCAGGGGATGAGGAGGGCTGGCTGGGGATGGTATTCAGGGGTCCCTCTCAGCTCCGGCACCCCAGCTCCTGCTGACCTGCTGCTCCCGCCCCAGATCCTGCAGGGCCTGAAGTACTCATTCTCTGTGGACTGGTGGTCCTTCGGGGTCCTTCTCTATGAAATGCTCATTGGTCAGTCCCCCTTCCATGGTGATGATGAGGATGAACTCTTCGAGTCCATCCGTGTGGACACGCCGCACTATCCCCGTTGGATTACCAAGGAGTCCAAGGACATCCTGGAGAAGGTGGGGGCCTTGGGCTGGGCCAGGTGGGGCTGGGGCCGGGGTTGGCAGATACTGCGCTGTGGGCATGCGACAGCTTCTTGTCTCTGGAAGCACAGCCTCACTGATGCTCCAGTCCTAACACGTTGGGGGTACTGGGGGTATTGTTCCCGGGAACTCCTGTCTGAGTCCAGTGCATGGAATCTACCTGACATGGTGACTAAGGGCTCAGGGTCAGGAGACAGACAGACCTGAGGCCAAACCCTGGCTCTGCCCATGCCTATGTGGTGACCCTAGGCAGGTCACTAACCCTCTCTACATTTATCTCTGGGTTTGTTTCCTTATCTATAAAATGGGGTTATGAGAGACCCTGCCTCACGGAGTTGTTGGGAAGAAAGAACAAAAGTATTATGCTCACTTCCGTGCCAGGCAGATAGTAAATGCTCCATGAACGGGCACCGGTTTACTCCCAAGTCCCGCCAGCTGAGTCCCAGGTGTCCCGGCCTAGGCCTGTCGTTTGGGCGACCTGGGAGCACGACAGGTCAGAGAGGCCTCTGTGGGGCCGGGACAGGCCTGCCGTGCACCCTGGCCTGCTGGGGATTTGCTGAAGCTCCAGTTTCCCGTGGTCCTCAGGCACTAACCAGGGTCCCTGTCGGGTTGCAGCTATTTGAAAGGGACCCAAGTAAGAGGCTGGGAGTGACAGGAAACATCAGAATCCACCCCTTCTTCAAGACCATCAACTGGACTTTGCTGGAAAAGCGGAAGATAGAGCCGCCCTTCAGGCCCAAAGTGGTATGTGGTCCCCGCCCCTGCGCTGCTCTCCGGGCTGGTCCTTCCTCCCCTGTCCCCGTCTGTCCTGCGTCACTCACACACTTTCCTCCTCTCCCTTCTTCCAGAAAAGATGCTTCCCTGAGCTCCCCTAGCATGTTCAGTCACTGCCTCTGCCCTTGTATTCTAATCCTCTCTTTCCTACTCAGCCATTCAACAAACACTGGGAGCCGTGGGTCCAGCCGCCTTTAACATACATTCTCTCGCACCCACTGTGTGCAGAGGACTGTGTTTTGGGAATCAGAGTTCGGGTTTCACTCCCTCTCTCCGTCCATCTGTCTGGCCCATTTCCCAGTAAATACTGGGAATGCCGAGTCCTCGTTGGGTGCAGAGCACTGTGCTAGGCTGCACGGCCAAGTGGGAGACCAGTCCCAGAGCTGGAGGAGCCCCCAGCTAGTCGAAAAGATAAGAAACTTGCACACTGATGACAATTTGTGGCACAATAGTATAAGAGATGTCATAGGCCACACATGACCAGTTGCTGTTGGGAGGGTCTGTGAGCAAGAGCCCACATGCAAAGAACGAGGTGGGTCTGAGAGGCCCCCTTGGAAGAAGTGGGACTTGCACAGGGCTAGTGACATTAGGCTGGGCAGAAGGCAGCTAGAGAGAGTGCAGGAGGGATGGTTTGCACAAAGGCCCAGACTCTACAGGGGCCACCAAGCCACCAGCATGAGAGCAGAGGCAGGTTGGGGCCACTAAGAAGTTGGGACTCTGTGGCCCTCTGTGACCACAGTTCTTCCCTCCCAGTCTCTTTCTCTCCTTTGCTTCCCCTCCTCCGTCAGGACATGCCGTTCCCCCGGGCAGCCTGCGTACCATGTCCCACATTTGTGCTTTGAGGCTACAGAGTACTTCCCCTATACCAGGGATCTCAAACCCGGACGCCTCCTGGGCTGGGCATGTAACTAACAGGCTAGGTCAGTTGTAAGAAAATCACACAGCCTGCGTTCAGTTTCTGGCTTTGATAGAAGGAGAGAGATTTCTTCCCCTACACTAAGAAACACAAGGCCGGTGCGATGACCAGCGTCAGTGGGAATGGGGGGGCCGATGGCAAGCTGTCCAGGGGGCTCTTAGCACCAAGAGTGGCCATGCCAGCAAGTGGGCCCAGTGCTGCTTTAATCTGCCAGTTTTCAAAAGAAGCCAGAAATCTAGATTTTCTGTCACATTGCCTAATTTTAAAATACTGGCTCAAAGTGCATTAAAACCCAGTGCAAAGGCGAGGCTTGGTGGCTCACGCCTGTGATCCTAGCACTCTGGGAGGCCGATGCAGGAGGATCACTTGAGCTCGGGCATTTGAGAACAGCCTGAGCAAGAATGAGACCCCGTCTCTACTGAAAATATATAAAAAAAATTAGCCGTGCATGGTGGGACACGCCTGTAGTCCCAGCTACTCAGGAGGCTGAGGCAGGAGGATCACTTGAGCCCAGGAGTTTGAGGTTGCAGTGAGCTAGACTGATGCCACTGCACTCTAGCCTGGGGCAACAGAGTGAGACTGTGTCTCAAAACAAAAAAAAACTCGGTGCAAGGCAAAATGATTGTACCTGCAGCTCAGTTTGGCCTGAGGGCTGCCACCTTGAGGCCTCTTTCTGTTACCATCTCATCGTATCCTCAGGAGCGGGGAATCAGCAAACTTTCTGTAGACAGCCTGATGGTAAATATTTTGAACTTTACAGGCCAGATGGTCTCAAAGCAGCCATAGATAATACGTGGACAAATGGGCATGGTTGTGTACTAATAAAACTTTATTTATGGACACCAAAATTCAAATTTCACTTACTTTTCATGTCATAAAATATTCTTTTTCTTTTGTTTTTTTCCAACCACTTAATAACGTGGAGGCCACTCTTAGCTTGTGGGCCCCACAAAAACAGGCAGCAGGTGAGATTTGGCCCAGAGGCCGTGGTTTGCTGGCCCCTGCTCAGGAGGGTGCCACCGTTCCTTACCCAGGCCCAGAGCTCCCTGCTTCCTTTCCTCATCCTTTCCTTTGGGGAAACAGCATCCATCTTCCAGTGGGGGTCCTCTCAGCCACTGGGAGAGGCCCCCTTCCTGTTCTGAGTAAGGACAGCTCTGGCCTGGCCCAGACTGGCAGGGACTCCAGCCCTGGAGGTGGGGCCCAAAGCGATTGGAAGGCAGCCCTGGGGAACTGGGAGCCTTTGGAGGACCACTCCTCAGGTCCCGCTCACCCACCCCTGCCCTCTGCTCACAGAAGTCCCTCAGAGACTATAGCAACTTCGACCAGGAGTTCCTGACTGAGAAGGCACGCCTCTCCTACAGCGACAAGAACCTCATCGACTCCATGGACCAGTCTGCATTTGAAGGCTTCTCCTTTGTGAACCCCATATTCGAGCATCTCCTGGAAGGTTGAGGTTCCCAGACATGCCCCCCCAGCCCACCTTGGGCAGAGCAGGCCAGGCCCCACTCTCCGTCTGCACATGCCCACCCCCCATGATAAGCAACAGTGTCCGTGTGGCGATTTCTGCTGCTGCTGCCTGCCCCCGCCCCCTGCCCCCAGAGGGGCCTCGGCTCCTGTCTGGCTGGGCTCTTATGGTACTTCCTCTGTGAACTGTGTGTGAATTTGCTTTTCCTCTGCCCTCAGAGGGAAACTGTAAATCCTGTGTTTCATTACTTGAATGTAGTTATCTATTGAAACATATGTATACACACACATATATATATAATAGGCTGTATATATTGCTCAGCAGAGAAAAAATGTCGGGGACTGGTGATATGTTGATCTTTTTCAAAATATATATATATATATGTGAAAACAAAAAAAGGAACACGATCTGTTTGAACTGCTAGGTTCTTTTATTTGTGTGTCAATAAACACCGAATGGTACCAACCTGGCGGCTGGGACAGGTTTGTCCCAGGAAGCTAGTGGTGGCTTCTCCCACGTGGCAGCTCTGGCCCGGAAGCTAACTGAGCTGGGCCTTCATGCAAATATATTTTTATTTATGGGTTTCCTCTGGGCCTAGAGCAGAAGGCTTTTCTGGGTGCTGCAGGGAGCCCTGGAGTCTCTGTGCGGTGGTGGGACCAGCCGCAGTCTGTCTGGAGAGTGAGGGGCCAGGCTGGAAGTGCAGAGAAGTGGAAGACATGAGCAGAGGCTTAGAAACTGGCCCCAGACCAGGGAGGAGGAGGAGGAGGAGGAGGAGAAAGGAAATACAGTTCAGGCTTTGGGCATATCTGGATTTAAACCCCAGAGTAGCCAAAAGATGTGGGAAGGTCACTTAATCATTGTAAGCCTCAGTTTTCTCATCTGTCACATGGGGACAAGGCAAGGAGATGATAGATGGAACTCCACATCACATTACTGTTTATCCCTGTTTTTGCCACAGAAGAATCTGTATCTAGGTTCTAGAATCTATTTCTCAGGAGCCCTTGCCTACCTGGGGAAGGGGGCAGGCAGGATGGGAGAGGAAGGTGGGAAATGCCGAGTGACTGGGCAAGGCTGGGAGGCACGCTCCAGTGTGCCGTGTGCAGGTGAGGAAACTGGCTCCAAGGGCAGCTGGTGTCCCCATGAGTGAGCGCAGCTGGGGACAGTGCTGGGCAGTCCTCCTGCTCCGCTGGACACCTTCCCCACCACCTCAGTGTCTCCCCCTCTCCTAGCTCTTCATTTCTTCCCCTCCTCTCCCCCTACCTCTCCCTCTTTGTATTCTCGCCTTGCTGTCCGGGGCACAGGTCTCAGGCAGGGCCCACCCTCCAGCCCCGCTGGTCCAGCCCCAGCTCTTTGTCCCTGGAGGTGGGCGAGGCGCTCCTAGCACCTGATTGGCTGGCCTTGGCAGCTGAGCAGCTGACTTCCAGCAAGTTCATTTTTCCAGGCTGAAGTACAAGTTTCCACAACTGGAAGGGCAGATGGTATGGGGCTGGAGTTGGCCAGGGAGGGGGCTGCAGGGATAGGGGCTGAGCTCTCCCCAGAGAGCAAGTTTTGCCCTCTCCACCCTCTGTCTTCTCAGGAAACACTCCTCTTGAATCCCTGCTCTGTATTGGGCCAGTCTGGGCACTCAGGACAGCAGGGAACACCTCAGAAGTGGCGTTCATCCCCTTGGGCTCCCAGTCAGGAGGAGCAGACAGGCAGCATGGCGGGGGCTCTGCTGAGGGACACTGGGGCTGCAGGAGCCCAGAGGTGGTGCCTGGGGTCCCCTGACCTCTGCCTCTGCCACAACAAACACACATACCTCGAAAACCCCCATGGGGCCATCCAAAGGGAGTTTAAAACGAAAATGTGGTTGGTGTTTGAATTCAGAGCCTCCCACCGTCCTGAAGCTGCAAAGCAGGGCCTTGCACTGGAGCCAGTTTCCTCCCTTGTGGAACGGAGGACTTAGAAGCAGTGGAGAGCGGCGGGAAGAACATGGTGCCTGGAATCGGAAGCCTGGGCTTTGAATTCCACTCTGCCACCCACACACCATGTAACCTCAATGAGTTCCTTCATCTGCCTCAATTCCCTCATCTGTAAAATGGGACCATGAATCCCTGCTGCCTCACAGGAACCCTGGCTCTGGGGGCCCCTTGTGGGACTGATACTGATACCCAGTGGTGCCAGGCAGAGCCCAGGAAAGGACAGGGGCTGATCCTGTGGGGTCCACCTCAAGCAGCCTGGGACAGGAAGCTGCTGGGGACACTGCCAAACCGTCTGGGAGGCTGCACAGCTCCAACCCTGTTCCCAGCCTCTGAGTGGGCGCCAGGCCTGACCCAGCAGCCTCAGGAAATGCCTGTCGTGGCTGGGCCCTGAGCCACACTTTCACTGGGACCTGGGGGCCCCGAAGCAGACAGATTGCCCCCTCTACCTGCCAAGTAGGTGTGTGAGCATCACCAGCTCGGCCCCACTGTAAGGGCAAAACGGAGCAATGTGCCCCACGCAGTGCTGGGCAGAGAAATGCAGGCACAGGAGGGCCAGGAGCAGGAACATGGGCTCTGCTGTCAGACAGCCCTGGGTTCAAATTCTGCATGTCTCTGGTTGTGTGACCTTGGAAGTTGCTTTGCCTCCCAGAGCCCCATTTTCCTCTACTATAAAATGAGGATGCCTCCAATGATGTCTGTGAGTGCACGGCGTGAGCTCAGCACAAGATAAGCAGCAGCCATGGTGACCCCACCCTGCCCGCCGCACACTGAACTCCCCAGGCCTTGGACTGGACTGCAAGTGGGCAACGAAAACGCACCCACCCCATGACCTGGCGGTCCCCCTTCAGGAAGAGCTACCCAGGAGCCTCACCCACATGGCCCAGGAGGCTTGCCCAAGATGCCCACCACTGCATGGCTTAATTGGGAAGACCTGAAAGCAAGCAGAAGGCCCAGCAGTTGGGGAGCTGGTTAAATACTTTCCTGGTGTGGAAATGGTGCAGGGCTAAGAGATCACCAAAAACAGCAATTTAGAGAACCGAAGACTCAGCGTGATTCCACCCTGTGGTTCCACATGCCCGCTTCTGACAGCACCCCAGGTCTGGGGGGACGGGGCAGGGCCGCAGGGAGGAAGGATGAATGAGTGAATGAATAAATGAATGGACGGGCTGCCCAGACTGCAAGTCCCTTGCAGGCAGTGGCTCTCAAATTCAGTATCCAGCGCATACTGATGAAAGACACATATCCCCTGGGTCAAGTTCTAACCAGCAGATCTCAGCCTTGGTTGTCACTGGAACCCGGTGCCCAGGCTGCCCTGGTCTAATTACATGGTGAGCTCTGGAGGGGCCCAGGCATCAGTATTTTGAAAGTGCCCCCGCGGTGCAGCGCGGGCTCCTGAGCCAGTTGGGTGAGGTCGGGGAATCAGCATTCTGCCCAGTCCTCCTGGTGAAGCCAGGAAATGCTGCTCCGAACAGACCACACCCTGGAAGGCGAAGTCACCTGCCGGCACCCCTAGCCCACAGGAGGGGGAGCCCGGACCCCCGGCTTCCGGCCCCTGCCTGTGCACGGACACAGGGCTGTGGCTGGTGGGCCCCGGAGGCAAGGCGGGGAGGCCGCGCCGGGCTGGGCTACAGCGCCCTCTGGAGGCCGGCAGGGTCGCGGGCGCCGGGGAGGGCGCAGACCCGGGAGGGGAGGACCCCACGGCAGGGAGCACAGGCTTTGCGCCAGGGTCTATGCTGGATTCTTCATCTACTTCGTATCACTAGTCCCCGGGGAATTATTTCAGCAAGGAGATGTTGGACGACCATTTTGCTGAGAGTCAGAGACACGGAGGTCATCCAGCTAGCTTCCCTGGCATTTTTTTAAGAGTCCCCGCGCTGCCCTAAATCCGCCCGCGTTTTCTGGCATCCATCCCAACATGACAGCCATATTCCCCCATATATCCCTTATTAAGGCCTGGATAACCGATACTAGCTGGGAGGTCCTTGTTTCAATAGGTTTTAGTAGCAGGAACCAAGGGGCACCCAGCATTTGCCAGGGTGGGAGGGGCAGATAGGGCTCCATGACTCCCCACTGCTGCTCTCGGCCCCACTGCCCAGGCTGCGGGTTGGCACTTCTGCAGCTCACCGTGCACCTGGCTCCTCGCCCCCTCTGAGCTGCACGGGACCTTGGCTCCCTCCTGTGCCCTCGCTGTGCCCAGCAGGTCCCCTCAGGCCACTGCCCTGTGTGAGGCTACAGGCTGGTGAGCTGTGTTTGGTTTCCTCGAGATCTTGACCAGCCTCCCAGGCGCTTTTTTATCTCCTTGGGGTGGCGCAGGGGGAGATGCACACAGCTGAAAACATGGGACCTGGTCGCAGAGAAGGGGGAGGGGGACAAAGGCCCCCAAAGGTGGGAACTGGGCCCAAGTAAGCACCGGCCAGATCAGGCCAGACCCGTGAGGTTTGGGGCATCCCTGGGTCTGGTCATCTGACTGAATCAGCGGGTGACAGCTATAGCCCCCGTGATTTTAGTCTTCAGAACTTGGAGGCCCATCCCCGAAGTAGGCTTCTTAAGTGGGCCTTAGAAGAACCCCACTTTCTTCTCTTTCCCTGCTGAGAAATACATACTCTGAGGCCCTAACATTTGCTGCTCAGCATATGTTAAGCACTGTACAATGCCCAGAGCCTTCTGGGAAGGTGCTTTTCCTTTTTCTTCTTGGGAGAAGCGAGTTTAGCCTTCTACTGATTTCACCTGGGATGGTGGACGCACGAGCTGTGGGTGGGGCAGGCAGCGCTGGGCTCTGTTACCAAATTATATGTTCCTTCATGGAACAGATGCCTGCTGTATGCAGGAGCTCGACGGGCGTCACCCGGGAACACCAGTCAACAGGCATGACCGTGCCTGGCACTCACTGTGTGTGGCCGGAATGCGCACGGCAGTGGCAGTCTGGGGCAAGAACTGTGCTTGATGCTTTCCCTGCATTGTCACCTGCAATTAATTCTCACAACAGCCCCGTGAGACATTTTACCAGTGAGCTAACCAAGGCTCCGAGAGGTCCAGGGATGTGCCCCGTGTCTCTGGACAGGGGGCTCCCTAGGTATCTGGGAGTTGGTTTCCTTGTCCTGTTTCCTGTAGAGACAAGCATAGACAGTCTCCCACAGCCTCCCACAGCCTTGCACAGGAACTGTCAGGGAGAGAACACAAGGGTCCCCTGTCCTGGTCCTCAGAGGCCCCAGGAAGAGAGGGGAGCCAGGTGGCAGGGACAGCAGAGACAGGATGGGGCACAGTCAGGGACAGCAGAGACAGTTAGGATGGGGCACAGTCAGGCTGACTAGGAGCTGAAGGACCCTTGCAGATTAT